TGAGGGTGGGAAGCCACGCTGGTGGGCTGGGCTGGGGTCTGAGTCGCATGCAGCACCATAGCATCGCTCCATCTGGCAGCGTCTTGAGCCAAAGCAAACCAACACAGGCTTCTTCTCCCAGGACCAAACTTCCGCAGGCTCGTTACCTGTGCAGGTGCCTTGCAATAGCGAGCCTAACTTCTGCAGGACATCCACCACCCCCGGAGCCTGGCACACCACACCTTGCCAGCCTACAGCGATGCCCGTAACACCAACAGCACCGATACGAGAGTCCTTGAACAGGCCTCGTGTCCATGGCATCTGGGTCCAGCGGTCTTGGCTTTTGAAGATCTGCGTTTGTCGCAAGCCGATGAACCCAGGCTCTAGAGCTGCTCCGGGGAGGGAGGCTGCAGCTGGCGGAAGCAAGTTGATGCATAATGCAGCCAAAGGGATGAGGAGGTCTCTGCGGGACGGTGCCTTTGCCTCCGCTTGCTTGCATGGTCCATGGCCTATGTTATTCAGGAAGTCAGGATAGATGGATCGTCGTTTGAGTCCCTTTGGACCTTACCCAGGGAAATTCCAGGCTTCTGCAACCAAATTCTCTCCATGGTCCTTGCAAGTGCACTTGGACTCCCCAGCTGCCGGTGCATGGTCCTGGCTGGCCCAGCCCTTCGGGAGCAGCGGGGTTTGCTCTGCCCCTGCAGAAGCTGCTGTCCTCACCCCATAATCCAGTGGGGGAGTTTGGGCTTCTCACCTCTGGGCTCGCAGAACTGCCAGCAAAGGTGTGGACGGCTGCCAAGGCCTTCACCAGTCCGATGAGCCCCTCTGCACTCGAGGCCTACGGCTGGACCCCGCCTTGGCTGCCTTGCCAGAAGGAATCAGGCAGCTGTGTCCTAGCTCGTGTCACAAAACGGCCGTACAGCGGTGGGGAGCCGGGACAAGTTATTCCAACTTGAACACGCAGGGTGGCAAAGCTCAGGCTTTTTTGGGTACGAGGCTGATGAGAGTAAACGTGGCCTTGCCTTCACTCTGCCCATGCTCACGGCGCAGCCCGGCGGGACGCTCAGCTGTCTGGGCAGAGATGGACTAGCCCATTTCTCCCGCGAGCGGCTGGCGCGGTGGCTTGCTGCTCCAGCCCCCAGGACCGCATGCAGTGTCATGGGCCATGCGCTCTTCCCATCAGTTTCTCTTCTTCCGCACCCCTCGCCTCCCCCTGAGCCCCCTTGCTCCGTGTCTGTGGTGCAGCTGCATCCCTTGACATTTTGTCGTTCCCTTTTCTGCTCTCTCCACAGCTCTGTCACCGGTCACCCCTAGGCCAGGCCATCTCCCCAGGCCGGGCCACGGGGTCCTCCCAGTGTAGGAGGCTTCTTGCCTTTGCAGCTCCACTCCCACCCCAGAAGAGCCAGAAATCCTTCTCTCCCCCTTCCCCTGCTGTCCCGTAGGGGATGTCTGATGCCCCCAGGGTGCGAGATGGCAAGCTGGGGATTTTCAGCCCTTCTCTCCAGAGCTAATGAGGGACAAGAAGGGCTGTTGCGAGAGAAGAGAGCTCTGGTTCTGATCACAGCCAGCTCTTGGGGGGTGGGGCAGTGTCCCTTCTTCATTGTCCCTTCAGTCTCTGACTTTTCTCTGGTTTGTTCTTTTTTCCCCTTCCGCTGCTCTGCACCCTTCTCCCACCTCTGTCTCCGGCTGCAGCTCTGGAGCCGCGCAGGACCCAGCCCTGCCGTGGGAGTCTGGGACTCTCCACGCGTGGGAGGCTTCCTTCTCCCTCCATTGCACGCCCTCCGGCCGCAGCCAGCTTCCTCCAGGCTCCTCTGTGCCGTGAAGCTGAAACGACGCTGAAAACACCTCTGAGCAACGTGTTTCCCGGCCCCGGTGATGAAAGCTGCTCCGGCAGCATCACTCAGCGATGGCTGCTGGTGAAAACTGCTTTCAGCACTGGCTGGATCAGCTAGCCGGGCCCAGACGGCAGCGGGGCCGACCACCGGGTGCGGCACGAGCCGACTCCTTTGCCCCCCAGCTCCCTGCTGTGGCTTTGGAGCTGGTAGAGGCCTCGGGGGACAGGTTTTGTTCCGTTTTTCCATGTTTTCGGCATTGCTTGCTGCCCTCTGGTGGATTCGGCGTTCCTGCAGCCGGGCCCGTTCTGTGGAGCTCCTCGCTAGTCTGAGCCCAGACCAGGTCCCTGTTTTATGGGCACGTCCGTGTGCGCGGTCAGTTGGGCTCTTCCCCGCTCGGGGTTGCTCTGCCCTATTAGAACCCAGGCAGCTCGTTCTTAGCCGCAGGAGAAATGCTCTTGCATCTGCTTTGCACGTCAAAGCAAGCGGGCCGATGACATAAAGCGAGCGTGCAACCCCCCCAGACTCTGTCCCCTGCCCAGTAGAGAGGAGGCTGGTCCCTGCCCAGTGGGGACGTGGCCTGGCTCGCTACTGGGATGCTGGGAAAAGAGCATCCCAGGAGGACTTGGCTCAGGGAGCAGAGAGGGGCTTCTGCGCAGCTCATTCGAACGCTGCCTTATCTGGGGACTTGGCAAGCGCTGCCTGTCAGTCGCACCGCCTTGTCAGCAAAAACTTGGGATGAGTCTTGTGTCACCTCCTGGGATCCAACGGAGGCCCCGTTGGATCCCAAGAGAGCGTTGAGTGCTCTTGGGTTTGCTGGGCCCTCGCCACGTGTGCTGGGGGTCGGCAGGCATCAGGAGGGAGCTCTCGTGGCTCTGGGGGCTGAGCGCAGCAGGCCGCGTGATGCGGCCTCGATGCCGGAGGCGGCCTCGCTGCCCCCGCAACCCAGTTTGGCAATGCCCCCTCTTTCTCCAGCATTCGTCATGGCGGCGGGGGGAGAAGGAGAGATGGAAACTCAAGTCCGAAGCCCCATTCGCGCCAAAAGCCTGGAAAAAAACTTATCTCCAATCTCCTTCTTCTTCTAAGAAAAAAAAATGTAATAAAGGCTTTTGTTTTTGCAGTAATCTCATCCTCTTGCCGGCCCTGTATTTTCCAGGCTCTCTCCCACCCCTCTCCCTGCGGCGCGGGGGGGCTGCGTTGGTGTGCGCGTACAGCAGAAGGTGATCGCACACTGTGTGGATTTTACTGCTCCCACGAGGGGCGTTTTCTGGGGCTGTTTTTCCGATTATTCTATTGAATCCTCCGGTAAACCCGATCCAGCCTGGGTCCCCCCCGAGTGAGGAAGGGGGAGAGAGGGAGAGAATCTCTTTTCCAGGGAAGGATCTGCAGCGCTCTCGGCACCCACACAGCAGGTCAGCGAGTGGGCGCAGTCTGTGACGCAGCCTCGTCTGGTTACCAGCGTCTGGCCGGGAGCGGGGCCGGGGCTGGGGGCGCGGTGCAGGGCCCCACCTCACACCAGGCTAGCAGGTGCCCGGTCGGCCCAGTGCTCCTCAGTGCCACCACGGGCGCTCCCGGCCTTCTTGCCTGCGGCCTGGGGATCCAGCAGGCAGGGCTCTGGCATCACCTGTGCTGAATGCCAGGACTTTCAGTCCTCTGGGCTGTGTTCAGCTCCATTTTATGCAGGCCAGGAGTGATCCCATCCTTCACCTGCCAGCGTGGCACCATTCAACAAGTGTTCCCTGGTTGCAGTGCAGCTGCCAGGGGAGCCCGGCTGCCCAAAGGCTGTCAGTGCACAATCTGGGTTCACATTAGCAGCAACAGAGTCATTGCCCATCCACCAGGTCATAGAATCGCAGTCAGGGCTGGAAGGGAGCTCAGGAGGTCACATCTAGTCCAACCGCTGCTCCAAGCAGGACCAGCCCCAACTACATCATCCCAGACAAGGCTTTGTCTACCCGGGTCTTCAAAACCTCCAAGGATGGAGACTCCACCACCTCTCTGGGTAACATGTTCCGGTGCTTCACCACCTTCCTAGTGATAGAGTTTTCCCTAATATCCAACCTCAACTCCCCTTGCTGCAACTTGAGCCCATTGCTCCTTGTCCTGTATCTGCCCCCACCGAGACCAGCCCAGCTCCATCCTCTTTGCAGCCGCCCTGCAGGGAGGTGAAGCTGCTATCAAATCCCCCCATAGTCTTCTCTTCTCCAGACTAAATCAGCCCAGTTCCCTCAGCCTCTCCTCACCAGTCCTGTCTTCCAGCCCCCAACCATTTTCGTTGCCCTCCTCTGAACTCTCTCCAATGTGTCCACATCCTTCTGTAGTGGGGGCCACAGCTGGGGACATGACTCCAGATGTGGCCTCCCCAGCACTGAATAGAGGGGAAGAATCACTGCCCTCGATCTGCCGGCACCGCTCCTACCAATGCAGCCCAGGATGCCGGTCGCCTTCCTGGCACCAAGGGCACACTGCTGGCTCCTGTTCAGCTTCTAGTCCCCTGTCCCCCCAGGTCCTTTTCTGCAGAGCTGCTGCCCAGCCCATCGCCCCAGCCTGCACCGGTGCAGGGGATTGCTCCTTCCTAAGTGCAGGTCCCACAATGAGAGTCTACAGTGCCCCTTGCCCGCTCTGCCTGGGGCATTATGCAGCCAGATCTGGCTGGCTGCCTGTGTAGTGAGGCTGGCATAAGGCTTCTTCCCATTGCCATGGCCATCTCTAGTTGACCTTCTGAGCTGCCACCCTGTAGGACACGAGAGTCTTCTTCAGAGCGTGCCCACGTGGGAAAACAGACACCCACTGGGGTGAGACACGTAGGCCCTGCTGTGCTGGCGGCTGGCGGCTTTTCCTCCTTGCAGCTCTGGTGCCGCCCAGCACAACGGCATGATTCCTTCCTCAGGAGATGTGGCAATCCCGACCTCCTCATGACCTTGAGGTCAAGGGCTTTGGTTTTGGGGAACCAGAGATGCTCTGGGGTGAAGAAGATCTGGATCCAGGAGGCTTTTGTGGGGAGCAGGCTTTAGGGGGACCAAGACGGGCGTCGAGGTTCTGTAGCATTTTGGGGGTCCACTAACAGCTTTGCTTAAACTTCCAGTGGAGATCGCAGCCCAATTGAGTACAAAAACAAATGGTCGCTCATGCTAGGTCTAGTGGAGGTCATGCTAAGCTCACCCTCTCTGTCTTCTCACTGTCTTCCAGGCCGGAGCAACTTCCCAGAAGAAGGAGCAATTGCACCATAAGAAGCGGAGCTCAAAACCTCTCTTGGTGTCGAGCGAGCCCCAGCAACTGCCCACGGAGAACGAGTACGAGGAGGACAGCTCGGACGAGGAGGTAGGATACCCGGTGTGACCTCTGCTGGGGATGGGACATGACAGGCTGCTTCAGCAAAGCTAACCCCATTCCCACAGGGTCTGTGGACGTGTGTAACACCTTTTCACAACAGGTCTGTTGTTGTATAGTAGCAGCAGGGTGTTGGCGGCTGTGACCCTCCTGCTTTCCCTGGGGCACGGACGCAGGTGATGCCTGGGCCTGTCAGGGTGACTGTCATGTTGCTCTGAGGTCGAACACGGGGTTTGTCTGGGCTGGTTTAGACGGGGCTGATCCTGCCTCGGGCTGGGCTTGGATCAGACATGACCCCAGCAGCTTCCTGCCACCCCCGCAGGTCTGTGGTCCTATGAAGTACTGCTCGGTACTATTCCTGGATGGCGGGGCTGGCTGCTGCTCCCTGTGAACACCGTGCTTTGCATGCAGCTCTTGTCTCCAAAGGCAAGAGCAAAAGAGGCCTTCTGCCGAGGCTGGAAATCAGAGAGAGTGTCCTGAGCCACGCGGGGCTCCCGTGCCCTGTTGAACGAAGGCAAGGGGAGCCGGCTGCTGCTAATTGGGAAATGAGAGCAATATTTTACACCCTGGTTTTTGCATGCATCATTTTTCACTCCTTGTATCTAAAACCCAGGCCCAGGCCTACATGTCCAGCTCTGCACAGGCAGGTCTGCATGGCATGGTCGCAGGACGAGGAGGGCAGCTCTCAGTGGCATCCCAGCCTGGCTGGGCACTGGGGGACGTATTTGGGGACCGGCTGACACGGTGCGTTCCAGCCTGCGCCGAAGGTGGGCAGCAGGATGTTCTGCCTGTTGCAGTGCAGAGAGCTGGGGCACGGGAAGGCTGCAGAGAAGGGGCTTGAAACAGAGAAGCTGGAAACACTGGAAACATTGAACGAGGGTTGCAGGAGCCTTGGATAGGAGGTGTTCAGGTGGGTGGTCTGAAGTGAGGCGGGTGGAGGGAGTTGCTGTTCTTGGGGACACCGGGGGGGAAGTCACAGCCTTGATTCAGGTGGACAGAATCGCACAGAGGCGTTGGGTATGGACAGGTGAATTCCCCCCCTGCCGTGCGAATTTGAGGATGCAGGGGGTTAGCCAGTGGAAATGCAGAAGGAGATGCGTCCTCTAAATGGAGTTACCCAAGCTGCTTTTACCCAAGAGCCAATGAGGCCCAATACGTTGTTAGGTCGTTTTGGGGCTGGGAGTCTCATGCAGCCCACCAGCGCTCCCTGGCAGGAGGATTTGCCCTGAATGCACAGAGCGGCAGCAGGAAGCCTTCATGTTGCCCCGAGGAAGGAAGGAGCAGCCCTTCTGCTGGCAACAGTGTTGTAGGAAATGTCTGACTCGGTGCCTGGGTAAAACGGCAGGACAGGCGCTGTGGGAGCACTTGGGGGTTTCCAGCAGTGCACGGTGCTCTGTCGGGCTGCCCACAGTCCAGTTGTGTTGTCATGCGGTGGCTAAACGGGGGAAGAGCTGGAGCAGGGGGAGTGGGTGGATGTGCCGCCTTTGAGCTGAGCCTCTTGGCCGTTGCCAGGACAGAGGGGCTGTGGAGCAGCCAAGAGAGCTTAGACATGAGGGCAGGAGAGCCTGGAGGGTGCAGCCTGGCTTGGGAAGGCAGTAGGCACCCTGGCGCTCTCCCTCGGTGGTGACGGGGCAGATGGGCTGGAAAAGAAAGGAGGAGCTGTTGTGGTGCCTGCCTGCCCAGCAAAGGCCTTGGCCGTTTGACATCAGGGCTGCGGCCCACCTGGGCTGGAGCAGGAGCCGCAGGAGTCCCCGCTCCCAGGTCTGGAATAGAGATTGAGAGAGACGTAAAATATAGGGCTGTAGAAAACGTGCCCTTGTGTGCAGCGTCTCCTGCAGCCCAGGAAGAGCCCTTTCCTGCAGGGTTCAAGGTCTCCCTCCCGCTGCCTGGTTCCGTCTCCGGCTCCCAAGCCCCGATTCAAAACCTGCTGACATCAGAGTGGCTCCGGCGGCTTCGTTCTGCCTCTTCTCCTCCCTCCCCTCTTGCAGTTCAGTTCATCCCTTCCACAAGAGCCCTGCGTCGGCGGCCTGGGCCGAGGCGTGTGCACCCCGCCACTGCCTCGCAAGCATCGTCTGTAGCCAGCTCCAGTGGGTGACCCCCACGGGGCCTTGGGGACGTCTGTCCACCCCTTTCCTGTTGGAGGCCCTGGGAGGAAGAGTGGGACTGGGCATGGGGCTTCGAACGCGCCTCTGCACCAGCCGCTCTCCTAATGAAAGAGCGCTTGTTTCCCACTGGGCCCGGGCCCAGTCTGGAGCTGTGCAAACAGCCTCTCTCCGCAGCCGGCGTCCAGTTCACGTGAAGCCTTTGCCGGGGGAACTTTTAATGTGTCTTTGCTTGGGGAGAAGCTGAGGGTGCTCCTCTCGAGCCCTTCTTACCCCAACCCTTGGGTCGTCACCACTGGGTGGTGTGGGCAGACGTGCAGCTCCATCAGGCGCTGGCTCTACACCACCAGTCAAGGGTCTGCTGGACCCAGCCAGGGTAGAGACCTTAGTGCTCATTCGATTGAGAGCACCGCTGGGGTGCTGTCTTGCTCATCCAGTCTGGACGGCTTTTGGACTCGCATCCGTGCCAGGCTGCATCGCTCCCGCGGCTGCCTCTTGCCTATGCTGGCCTTGCCCAGAGCTTTGCATCTGAGTCGGTCTCCAAACAAAGTGGCAGGCCACAGGGTTTTGCTGTGACGTCGTGGACCTGAATGCATCTCTGCTTGCGATGGTCCCTGGCAGTGTGCAACCCTGGCCCCTGTACTGCAGCTGCACGGTGGTCCCCAGAAGGCCAGGGTGAGCTGGGGCTTGGGGAAGCGGAGTGAACCCGTCTGCGGTGGCTGCTGTTGATGTGGGATTTCAGAACTGCTTGTCTCTGTTCAACCAGGACAGTTGGGCTTTGCCAGGAGCCCGGGGTCACGTGCACCTTGTTGGCAAGCAGCAGGCTGCTGACACCTTTCTTGCTAAGGGGGCCTGAAGGCCGTGAGACAAGGAGACCCAAAGTCCCTAGTATCACATCTGTCGGTGCCCAGTTCCAGGTGTTTCAGAGAAGGGGGCAAGGAAATTTACTGTTGGGGATGGGGGTAGCCTCTTCTGCTCGTGATGCGTTTGCTGCCATCCTGGACACGCAGGACCCCAGAACGCTTCCAGAGCCGGTGACCAGTGCTTAGGACAGCTCTGGACATTGTTGGCACCCAAAGACCTGCCCAGCCCCTCTTTGGACCTTGTTAAATGTTTGCCCTTTGCCCCTTGCAGCGATGAGCTCTGCAGCCTCGTCGTACGTCACGCGGAAGTGTTTCCTCCTGTCTGCACCGGGTTGCCCCCTTCCCCTAGATTGCATTTCCCTGTTAAAACGGGACGGTCTGAAACCCTCTCTCCCCCGTGATGGGTTTCAGAGCTTTTTAATAAAGACTAATAGCTCAGGCCTGCTATGCCTTTGCATTTAGCGCAGCCGGCGGACTGGCCTCTCCCGTTGCGTCTCCCACGCCCCGTTCCTTGCACGGTGGTGTGAGCCCAGGTGGTGCCTGGCTTGGGCACCGAGTGCAAATCTCACAGAGCCAGGCCCTTGCAGTTTCTAGTGGGCCCCAGCCATGGGGTCTTCCTCCGAGGGCAAGGTGGGCACTGGGACAGTGCATGGCGCTGCCTGGGGTCCAGGTGAGGCCATGTGGCCCAGGCTGCCGTTCGGGGGCTGGCTCCGTAGCTCTCGCACTTCCCCCCCCCGCATGTGCGTGGGTTTCGGAGCTCTTTAATAAAGAATAATAGCTCAGACCTGCTATGCCCCTGTGTTTAGCGCAGACTAAATTTCCTCTCGCTGTGCTCCTGCTCACTTGGCAGCTGCCGGCGCTCGGGCTGGCCCGGCGCCCGGGCCGGTCTCTACCGTGTGTTCTGAGAAGAGACACAACAAAATAAATTGGTTTCCTGGCCGGGACGGGCCGGGCGCGCTCGGAGAAGGGAGCCCAGTGTCGCGCTCGCTGTGCCCTCTCCCCTCGCACCCAGCTCTGGCGGTCGGTGCCGGGATCCCGCGCGCGGCGGGCCGGTGCTTTCCCCGGCAGGCCGGTGATCCTCGCGGAGGCCGGTCCGCGCCCCCTGCTCTCTCCCCCCGGCCATCCCTTCAACACTTGTCGTGCCGTCCAAGTGTCTCTTCCTCTTAGCTGCTCGGAGATGAATGGCCGCGAGCTGCAGAGGCTGTCAGGGCCTCGCTGGGAGGAAGCAGTTTGGGGCTTTTGTTTGGTTCTGTTTCCTCCCACAATGACTATTCCATATGTCAGTGGATAATGAATGAAGGCGCGTTGAGCGCTCCTCGGTGAGCCGGCGGCTGTTCCAAGCCCACTTCCCTCCTCCGCAGTGCAGCTGACCCGGGCGGGGAGGGGGAGCGCGCAGCGCCTGGCTGGGCCCGGGGAGCTCTTCTTTCAGTAGCTGATTAGCCAAGAGAGAAAAAACCCTGCAGAATGTGCTGCTGGCAGACGGCTCCTTCAACTCATCGCTCCCTGCGTGCGTGTGCATGTGTGTGTGCGCGCCTGTGTGCTTCCTGACCGGCCAGCGCTCGCAGATGCTTCGAGCTTCCCACTTACGGCCCGTATTAAACACTTAGCAGAGCTCTCCTGCCGGCATCCGTGCATCGGCCGCGAGGCAGCGGTGAGGCTAGACCGTGCTGGACTCGGGGTTTTCGGGACAGCTCTGAGCCGAGCACGGCACTGCCCTCCCTGCCACAGCCTCGTCGGTTGTAGCATGACATCCCGTTCCCCTGGCTGGCTGGGCGGCCCTGGCTCGCCCCGTCTGGGCTACGGGAGGTCACTGCTGGCTGGGCGAAGGCCGGCTTGACCAGCAGCGGGTGCTTTGTGGGGGCTCCGGTGGGTCCGGACAGAGGCACTGCCTTGCACAATGACACACTGAAAGAGCCCCCATATATCAGTAGTGTCAAGGATAGTGCATCCCTGCTCCTGCCGCCTCTTCTCCAAAGCTTTTCCAAATACCATTAGGAGGTTTTTTGGGCTAATGAAGAATGCAGGG